ATGCCAAAATCACAATTCCGTTCGTCTTCCTAAAGCATACGATTACCAGAGCATCCATGCCAAAATCATATTTCCGTTCGTGATCCTAAAGCATACGAGTACCAGAGCATCCATGCTCAAATCCTCATGAGCATTACAACCATGGTATCTTTGTATCATGTCCATGTGCATATTCTTCTTAAAGTTCAAAGACGCGAAGGCGGATATTAGCAATGCTGCGGGCTTTATAGTAGACTGGGGTTACCTTCGGACGATTTTTTTTGTTTATCTCGCAACCTGTACATCCTTCGCATTATTGGAGGAACGGGCCTTCCTTTATTGCAGGCGCCCTCGTCATTCTTCTTCTCGTTTGCAGTATTTGGGGTGTCGGTTTGAGAAGTGGCAAGTGCACAAAGGATCCCACAAGTCAGGCGATTTCCACTTGCAAACCCCAAACCCATGAGAGCTTTTCGAGACATGGCTGACTCCTCTGAATTCTTTCTCTGTTCGCTTCTGCATTTTGCAGCATCCGTTGAACAGGGGTCGCGGGTGCGTGTTACGGAGAGTCAGGCTGGTGCGTAGTATCGTTCAGAGCTTCCAGTATTCTGCAAGTGCGTATTTTTCTTTACCACGCATACAGCACTGTGACATGCAAGTACTGTCTACATAGCTCGAAAGCTCGGACGCCACGTCCTGGCTGTTCTGGGCCCCGATCCATCCGGAGGAGTCTTTAGAGCGAAGCTTCACTTCGTGCAGGGTTTTTCTTTTCAGTCAGACTCACGACGCACAAAAAGCCTGCCCGGCGTGGGATGCGGCGCATCGTTCACAAAGAAAGCATCAAAACCTCGAACACGAAAGACGCGCTGCGCGCGTAAAATCGCTCAAAGTCACAAAGTGTGGAAACACTGGCAGGCGTGGCACGAAAGCCCGATTTTTCATGTTTGATCGCAAAAATTGTCCAAAAAAAACGCGTTGCAAAAACGAGTTTTTTCACGCGAACACTGGCAGGCGTGGTACGAAGTCCACATCGCAGGTGCTTTTCGCCCAGGGCCGCTAACGCTGGCGTGACCTTCTTCATGCATGCCTAGCTATGGGCTTTCTGGGCCCCAGCGTGCAAGTTGAAGAAGATGTGTCGTGGTCTGACAGGAGCTTTGGTACTCTAGACAGAGCGAGGGTTTTCGCGGGAACCTTTCAGTGCCTGGCTCCGGGTGGACACCTCAAAGAAACCATGCCTACGGCACTGCTAAAGTCCATGAGCGCAAGGACTCGAAGCCCAAATCACAAGCCTTTTGTTGGAAAATGTTGGGTGCTGATTAGTGTAGGGATCCCCCCCTAACGAAATTGGGCCCCTCATGAGTATAGCGGGGTGGGGTCCCCCCAAAAGAATCTGGATCCTGCTTTGAATTAAGTTAGTTGACTAGGAGGGAACAGGATTGGCTCGGGTAAAAGCTCAAAAGAGTTTCAGAAGGCATTTGGCAGGGTTTCTATTGAATTATTCTCAAAAAATTTTTGAGAGGAGGAGTCCGCTGACATTGGCTGCCCAGGCGACTTTGTTCTTGGTAAGCTTCACAGTGCTGATCACCTCTGGCTTCATGCCTCCTTGCCGCAGATTTCGAGGGTATCAGATTAGGGATGCCGTGCGCGCTTTGTATGGGTCCCAGTTGATACTGCTTACAGTTTGCGCCATGTTCTGCCACTCTGATTTGAAGATCTACAAACCTCTGTGGTAGGACTTTGGCGTTTGTGAGGCGCTGCCAGAGACTTGACCATTGAAGTCTTTCTTGGATTCAGATTCTGAATCCTCATTTGGAGATTGGCTGACCTTCCTGCGATCATCCAAAAAGAGGAGCTGAGGGGCTAAGACCAGAGGTTCTTTCCTCAATGGGCACTCTTTTGGGCATCCGTGAATCCTGGAGAGCCCCTGTTTCAACGTTGGAGTCCCAAGCCCACGCCTTCTTGGGCCGGGCCCAGGGCCCCATAATTACTTCTGATTTTCTGACATGCAAATCTCGAACTGTGTTGGTGCCCGGTAGGCCGTGGAATCGGATAAGATTCCCCAGCTGCTCTGAACTTCAGCGTGTGTTGGGAGCCCTGAAGCTCAGGCTCTGCTATGGCCATGTGCACCGTCAGTCGGTGGGTACCTCGGCCTCCGCACTGACGACATTGGAAACGGCAGTGTTATGGTTGATCGTGAATATAGGAGTTATAACGCGCATGCGATACGGAAAAGAGTAGTGTATCAGTATGACAACAGGAAGAAAAGCGAGACAAACGGCATGCTTACTTTCCGATGGGCCTCACTTGTGATCAGTTATTTCCATTGAGTGTCTATAGGGTTTCAAGAAGAGGTAGGCGGACCTTCGACTGGCAAACCATCTTCCTGTCAAGGTAGGGATGGAACTTTCTCCGGAGCCTAGCTCCAAACCTTGCATTGAGCCCCAAGCCTCGCAAAGCCTCGGCCCAAGCATCAAAGGCAGTATATGTTGGTTGACCTAGTAGCACGTACTTCTGCTGGATGATCACCAGGCTAACAGCGTGCCATGCCAAGTTTGTATCCTACCAACCATGGAGCCGAGCTAGAATGCTCACATGCGTGGCGCGCCAGAGTCATGAAGTGATGTCAGAGAACCGGAGGTCCGGAAGTCTGACATCCAGAGCCAAGGCCCCAATGTACTGTAGACTTTTTTTTTAATGGGGATCCTCCCAAAAACAACCCTAATTTTGGGAAACCCTAAACCCTACATATACATATTATATATATGTATATGTATATACCCCTATATAAACCCTGCATAACCCTTATATTCCCTTTCATGGTACCTCTAATTTTGAGAAGCCCCCATATCCAGAGCCAAGGTAAGAACTGGAGGATCTGTAGCTTCTACGCGGCGGGCCTCGCATTCACGCTGGCCCTGACCTGGGCAAAGCCTGGAGATTTCAGCTGTGCCTCGGGTGGATTGCTTACGCAAAACGTCCAAGTACCAAATAATTAGGTACGTGTGATTTGGGCAGTAGTAATTATAGCACGGGTTTCGGTAAACATGATGATTCTTAGGGTTCTCGCGAGTTGTCATTTGGAAGTGTCCATTTCTCAAAGCTTGAGTTCGTGGTCCAGGCGTTTGGGATGGAGTATGCTCGTGACCGCGTTTGTACTTGTGGGCGTTGAGGCCATTTGAGCCATGAGGGCGTTATGTAAGGGATTATCTTGGGACGAATGTAAGGTTTATTGAGGGTATAAGGGGGATACTAGGAGTTTAGACTACGGGGGTTCAGGGTGGGTTGGGGTCATGAGACTTCAGCACGTCGTGAAACTGTCAATTTGTCAGCTCTCATTCTTATGCAAATTTCGTATGTAGCACAAAGTTACACACTTTGGTTAAGTCTCTGATTGTGACGCTTCGTAGTGTCAGGTGAGGGGCAATATTAGGAAGGTGTTCTGTAGAGCGGTGAGGGATGCTGATGGCGGGATTTACAGGCCAGTTCGCTCAAAGGCCATTGCGGGGATTCTAGTTCGGCATCTACGTTGGAACAGGTGCAGCGCACAATGTCGTGGGATGTTGTTGCTGTTGCTTGTAAGAGTACGAATCAGAAAGCACACGCAGCAGTAGTAGGAAGAGGAATGACTCTGGCGAGACATTTGGAATCGACAGGAGGGTCAGACCAACAGCCCCTCAATGTGCGAGGCATTTTCCGCATCAACTGCGACAACGCTCCACGGCATCAACTGGTTCATCTGTGGGGTTGGAGAGGCCTTTGAGCTTTCAAGGGCTGAGGAGCTTGCACATTATCTCAGCAATGCTTAGACAAAAGGAGGCAGAGTTGAGGTTAAAGGTACGCTTCTTGGCGTCCTTGGACCCTTCTGAAGATGGTGGCCATTTTTAGGGTTTGCGCAATTAGGATGGTGCTATATGTCTGATTGTACACAGCGGGTCCTCGCTTCATGCAGCCGTCAGTGCCAAACCGGTTAGTAGCATTGCGCTCATGGACTTTGGTCATAGTTGCATTCACTGGGTAACACTGCTTTCGGGCCGGGTGGCATCAAGACTTGTCTGGGTTCGGACTCCTTTCAGAGCCTTCGCACTTGGTTGACGGACTCACCCACGAAACCATCATTTTGTAGCAGCTTGGGCAATCCCCTCCTGCGGTGCAAAAACTCAGCGGTCAAATTGTGTAAGCAATACATACAACAGGTGCTGCCTCGCGAGCAATGCTTTGAATGAGGATGCTGGTATCACGCAGCCCAGATGTGCGAGCCCTCCCTATGCCCTGATCCCTACTCTTTAAGCTGGAAACCATATGTGACTAGAGACGATGGGGGGTGGTCCGCTGCCGAGGACGCATCCACGAAGATGCAGGTTCCTTTGATAAGCAGACCGGCCCCCGGGCTTACATGAATTTGGGGTCCAGGCGCTGAAGGTTTGTGGCAGCAGGCCTTGAGGGTTCGGAGTATTGGACGGGCTCAGGGCTGCAGGTTTTGGGCTTTTAGGTTTTAGGACTAGCAGGTTTGCAATCTTCATCGCAATTGAGAGGCAGTTGAAGGCAGTTGAAGGCAGTTGATGGAGGTCATAAGGGTTATTGAGATGCATGCAGGAGAGGGGAGACATGCAGCGCGCCGACTTGTTCAGTGGCAGGGTAGCAAGTTCTGGAGTGAGAGCCTTGCAGCCTGAACTCCAAGTCTCCGCAAAGCAAATCAGCAGCTAAGGTGGCGGGTGTGATTTTCTCTTGCGGCAATGTGGGCGGCTGCTTCCTCGGCCCGCAGATGGTCAACTGCAAGAGCAAGGACCCCCAGGGCTTGCGGCCTCTAGCAAGAGGTAGCTAGCTGCTAGCCCATCTTGGCCTCATCCCCTGCTCCCTGATGAAAGCTTTGTTGGGGCCCAGGGTCCAGCCTAGAAGGTTGGGCTCGCCGCGTCACTTTGACATGGTCAGCTTCAGGTGCACGAAGGGACTTCTTTGCCATTTGGCGACTGCATACCTATGGTAGGCTACAAGTCAAGTTCAGCATGGGCCCGAGAGATGAGATAGCGTCTGAGCTTCCTTCGCAAGTTCCACAAAGCTGGTAGGATCTTGGAACAGCAGCAGCGCAGCAACCGTGACAAGAAGATGAACCCGTGTAATTCAATTCAGGGGCCCGTAACCAGGTGGTAGGCCAGTAGCATGGACAAAGACAACAAGACTTCTCTGGCTCCACGAGTGTTCTGAGTCACCGCTCCCTTAGTCCTCAATCCCGCCCCAGAGTCGTTGAGCCTTTACAAGATGAACGACGTACTCCTTAAAGACGACCTCTATGAGATTGATTCTAGAGGCTGACCCCTGCGATTCTGCACAAGTTTCAATACATCCCTAGCATCCGTTAATTGGGATGCTGTTGAGGATGGCCACTGCTGGATTGCCCCGCCGAATGCATCCAGCCAGAATTTGGCACGGAAGTTATGAGCGTGTTTCGTGATTCTCGCCCAGCCTGGTATATATGGTAGTTTCCCAAATAGGGGGACCAAGATGGTACCCTAATTTTGGGAAATCCCCATATGCCTCTTTACCAGGATCCTTGTATTTCTGCAAATGTAGTTTAGGAAATGTGCAGCAAAGCGTTCAGCTTATTGGCCCGCTGCGGTGCTCTTGCTTTAGGTTATATTGGGGTTATATTAGGGGTATATTGGGATAATGGAAAATGCAGTGGAAACTACAGGGATAATAGGGATTATACAGGGGTTATAGAAGGTATATATAGGGGTTATATTGGGATAATGGAAAATAAGATGGAAACTACTATTTAGGGTTTAGGGGCTCAGGGTTTAGTGTGTTGGCTGCTGAGACACCAGCCGGCTGCTGGTTGATGAGAATATATAATAGTAGTTTCCATTTTATTTTCCATTATCCCAATATTAGCTCAATATATACCCTATAATCCCTATATAACCTCAATATAACCCTAAGCTAGCACGGAATGAAGGGATTCTGGTGGCTGTTCTCACAGCAATTCAGGGTAGCCAAAGTGGCTTTTGGTAGGGCCCCTCCTTCAGTCGCTTCAGCCGTGCACTAGAAACACTGGGTCTCCTTTATACATGCCTGATACTGCTAGACATAGCTGTTGCGTTATCGAGAAATTCAGCTGGACATCAAAGTTCTGACGCGCCCCATTTTGTAATTCTCCGGCCTCAGCTTCCACACTTTGAAGACTCAAACTTCGGTTGCTGAACAAACGGACACATACCTGCATGAAGGTGTTTGGGTCCATTTGCACTGCCAGCAATGATTAGGAAACGTCAGGAGCCTTCGGTCCATGGCATAGTGAAGCAACAACATCCCTGGGCTCCACTCACCCAAGACTTCGCCATCATGAGCCAAATCAAAAATCTTAGTAGCTGTTAAACTAACTCATCAATAGCAGTCTCCAGTAGTCCCCTCTTGAAGGCTCACAATATCTTGGCTGACCAAGCACTTCTAGAGGAACCGAAACGGACATTTGGCACACATACTGGACTAGCAACCTGGCATGCTGGGGCCATTTTGTCAACGACACGCATGTGTGGCCTGCATAGCACTCGTTTTGAATAGCGGCCCTTTCAACATTTTACGTGGACTTTGAAGAAAAAACCCTGGACCCACCACGCACTATGGGGTCTAGGGCGCTTTGCACCGGCCTTCAGGAATTTGGCTTTAACATCAGCTGGAATCCGCCGCCCGGGGCCAAGGAGAGGCTTCAGGCGCCAAAGGGCTGTCAGACCTGAATAGGGATCATTCAAATCTTGTATGACTTTACGGGATCGGGCTGGAAGGATCCTACAGTCCTTCATACCCCTCTATGCAATGCCATGCTCCGGTATCTTGAGTCCAATTTTTTTGTTCAGAGTAATTTGGTGTTTGGCCGGGGTCATCGTGGCCTTTAGACAGGTTCGCAGTGATTTAGGCGAACGGTGGTGGTCCAGGATTCGGTCGATCCAAGCATAATCAGCAGCTTGATGGGGCTTCTCATAGAGATGGGCAGACAAAAGTTTCAAATGCTGTGAGCTTCCCAAGAGCCTCCAAGCCGGCGGCTCGATGCCTCAAGGCCCTAACACTTGAACCATGCAGCTCTGGATACCCTCCAAAAAACTGCAGAACACGATCATAAGAGTCTGCATACACGGCAACTGAACTCCTAATTATTCATTGTTCCTTGATGCCCGGCAGGCACCTTTCGAGGCCATTGGGTGGGAGACTTGTGGACGTTGATTCGGGCTTGTAGCTCGAGGGCTCCACCGACCCCAGAGTTTCCAGCTTCCACGGGGTATGTCGGCTTATGTCTTGGGGCTGAGGGATCGGGGCTGCCAGCATTGGCTTACCATGGGTCTTAGCATGTTTACCCACCATCGTCATGATCATCATCACCATTCACCACCCAATCTCTTTACTGGAAAGAGCGAGAAGATTGGAGGTTCAGAGCTCTCGGCTTCAGGTTGGTTGTGTTCAAGCTCATGTCAGGTTGCTCAACATCTTTTCATTGGGGGTTCCATCGCTACAGATGCAAGTGCTTAGTGGCTTTCGTTCTTGCACGGTTCAGATTGACTGCTTGGGTTTCTACAATCTTCCGCGCTTGACATGTGAATGTGCGCTGAGATGTTAATCTATGGCTTGAAATGTTGGTCTCATTTGCTGCAATGTTGCTCTTGCTGGGGGAATTGATATGCGGTACTCTGGCCGTCCTGCTGCATCGGCGGACCGGGTTTAGAGAAGCTAGGCTTGAATTCCCGATGAAGTTTCCGATGCGAAGCCCAGAGGTGGTACTACCAGGGGGCTGAGTGACAGTACTCGCGCTGGAGCTCTAAAACGCTAAAAGTCAATCCAGAAGCTCTCCTTGAGCGAAGAATTCGTGTCCCTTCTGGGGCATCGAAAAACGGAAGTGCATGCTACCCGTTCCTGTGACGTGGACATTTTCGGATGAAGTCCTTTTATGAAGTACCATCTCGGCCTCAAGAAATGGGCCACAGTAATTTTGACTGGGTTCTGGAGTAATTAAGCACATGCCAGGATGTTCCTGACAATGACCCCGCAATTACGGCAAGGCCGTAGATCCCTAAGCTTGCATGATTCCTATAACCCCAGGACTGGGATTGTTACCGGCTGCTTGGCCCATTATATAATCCCTTTTTATAATCCTTATAGAACCCCTCTATATATAGAATCCATACATATATTTATACATATATATATATATGTATTTGCAACCTGTATATATAAATATACATATAACGCCAATAATCTCTGTTGGTTCGGAAGAAACCCCCACATTGCCGTTCTCAACTGGCCCAGACCCGCGCAGACAAGCGCGACTACTGCAAGAGACACCCGCAGCCTGGCTGCTATCATAGTAATAATAATCACAATAATAACAATAATGAGAATAATAGTAAGTTAGTCTTTTTGCAATGCTGAGGTTCTCTCTACCAAGATAGATGTCGGAATAGCGCACATCCGACCAAGGCATAGCAATGCCAATTTGGGCCCCGGAGCATTCTCCCTCCTGACCCTCTTTTGTGCAAGTGGTACCCAGCCCGGCAATACGAACTGTTCCAAGTAACGAGTCACATAGGAGGCCTTGCAACCAAGATTCTCACTGTCACAATCCTGGGAAAAGGTGCGGCCTTCAGGCCACCACATAGACCTGGCCCTCCAACTCGGGTTTGTGCCTAACATGCTCATGAACAGCAGATCTGAGACACCCATAGCCTGCAACCAGCAATACAATCGCAATGCAGCCCTCCGCCATCTTCACAATGCCTTTAATGCATCTTTGAGGTATAGAAGCGGCGATTCATCCGATCTTGGGTACAAGCACCTTGACCTGGAACAGTCCAGCTGACTTTTAATTTCTTCGCTTGACATCCCGTCCTCATTGGGGAAGGTTGGACTGCAGACAGGGATCAATTGTTCGAGTTCTCTCCGAAACTGTTCACCACCTGACTTTCTTCGGGCTGTTTGAGGGAAGATGCCCGCAATTTGCTGAGCATGAGGCTCTGTGAAGCCCATTCTGGGGTAGATCAGACCAACGGGCTTGGCTGACAAACCAACGATGCTACGGCTTGCAGTGGAGTTCAAAAGTCTCCAATGCGCAGACGAAGATGTTGAACAGGGCGTTTTTTGCTGCAGCCTGGTGGGGGTCTTCTACGGCATGACCTCGATAGGGTTGTTGGCCCTCCCGCAGTTCAGAGGCGATACGTCAATCCGACTTGTTTGCACCCATGGTTCTAGGAGCCGTATGGGTCCTAGTCAATGTCAGCCCCCTACTACATCGACACGAAGTAATCTAGTCTTTGTCTCACGAATCCTCAAACAAGCCGTCCGTTCTTCCGCGAGCACCGTCAGTCCACGGAATCTGTGAAATGACCCCAGAAACCACAAGTGCTCATTAGCCTGGGAGAGGCCCCGAGGCCTCATTCATGAATTCAGCCCTCCTTTTAGCTTTTTCATACAGGCCCAGACCGTGCGCATACTCATGCGGGAACATTTGAGATCCAAGGGGGACCCATTTGTTGCAGAAACCCCGCCCGCAACACCAACCCCAAGCCATGTTAGCCCTTAGGATTTTCGCTACAGGGATATGATACTCAGGTGGTGCTGGAAGCCTGAGCTGCCAGGACAGCCGAAGTGCCCTGGACGTGGTTCAGGGTTGTGGGACTGGAAGTTATTTGAGATTCAGAATTCAGGCCTGGGTTTTGGGATTTGGTGCTAGAGCTTAGGATGGCACGGCTACACAAGTCGTACAGTTTGCAGTTCCAGGAGTTTTGCAGGGGCTCGTGTAAA